TAAAGAAGGTAATATTTCCTGAACATCATGATTAGTGCAAAATCATTTCTAAAGGTAATTATGCATTAACTTTCAGTCCTTTTCAAACCAGGAAAGAAATACGACCTTTTATAAACTATGAGTTTTAAATGGCTCAATCTTCTTGCAAATGGAAGGGGTTACTCCTTCCCTGCTAAGGTAAAGTAAAAGCCTAATATCTGAGAAAAAGTAGCAAATGAGTTCCTTTTGTGTTGAAACAACAACGACAGCAAAATGACCAAGAAGGTTATGGTCTTTGTTTTCATCACATGACAATACACCTGAGAGGATCGACTTAAAGAGAAGACGTTTGATTTGGCCTGACAGTTTCAGCCCATGGCTAGCTGGCTCTCTGCTTTTTGGTCTGTAGCAAGGTATCCATATTATGGTGGAAGGTCATGCATGGAGGACTAAAGCTGCTCGTGCCATAGTTGGAGAGAAGATAAAGACACATAGAGGAGAGTGATGAGACAAATACTCCTTTGAAGTCACAAATAGTACATAAGTGTCCACGCCTGCTTTCATTCAATGTAGCAGCGAACACCAAGAACACCAAGATGGAGGTAAAAATTGGAAAGTAGGGAGTCAGAGCATTATCATATGTTTATGATATGATTCTCTCTGTAAGAAGCCTCAGAGTCTCCACCTAAAGTCTTTTTAGAACCAATGATAGCTTTCGGCAAAGTGACAGCACATAAAAATCAATGTACAAAAATCTGTAGCCTTCCGATTTAGCAACGACAAAGATGCTGGGGAAGAAACGATGGATACAAAGCTGTTCAAAATTACTTCATGCAAAATAAAATACCCTGGACTAAACTTGAACAAGGAAGCAGATGACCTCCATAATGAAACGTTAAAACACTCAAGAAAGAAACTGCAGAAGACACTAGATGATAGAGGATCTTTCATGCACGTGGATTAGAAGAAAAAATATTGGGAAAAAGGGCATCACACAAAAGCATTCTACAGATTCAGTGTAATTCCAATCAAAACTTCCAAATCATTTTCACAGATATAAACAGAAAAATCTTAAAAGTCATTTGGAAATACTCCAGTCTTTAGAAGGCTAAAACACCCCCAAGCAGACGGCGTAATGCAGGGGTATTTCCATCACTTATTTTGAGTTACACTGAAAAGCCACCATGCTGATAAAACAAACAAACAAACAAACAAACAAACAAACAACCATGGTACTGCAAAAAATCAGGCATGGAATCAGATCGATGGAATAAAATAAAGACTCAGACAGAAACCCAGGCAGATACAACCACCTGATTTTTCTTCTAACAAAGATGTAAAGGCTACTCACTAGAAAATGGACAAACAGTACTGAGAGGATTTGCTGTCCACAGATAAAAGAATGACACCAGATTCTTGATTTTCGCCCTTACCCTAAGACAGACTCCACATGGATCAAAGACTGTAACATAACGAAACCTCAAAAGTGCTAGAGAAAAAACTGGGCGGGGGGGGGGGACATGTCAAGCTACGGGCACAGGAAAGGACTTCCTAAATCAGATTCCAGAAACCCAAAACAGAGCCATAACGACAAATAAGATGACACAAAGCTAAACGCATCTGTGTGGTAAAGGCAATGGCTCATAACAGGAAGAGCTGGCTTATAGACCAGCCTAAAAGCTTTGCCAGCTCTCTATTTCATAGAGGATTAATATTTAGAATATTAAAAAAAAACCCGAAAATACCTAGAAAACAAACAACCTAAACAAAAACCAGCCGAGGCACTGAGCAGAATGTTTGAAAGAGGAACTACAAATGGCCAATAAATGTTTTGCAAGCTCTCAGCCTTGTGAGCTGTCAGGGAGATGCATGCTGACAGTGCTCTGAGATTCTACTGTTACAGTGGCTATCATGAAGGGAAAAATGATGACAAATGCCGGCCTGGATATGGATAAAGGAGAGTGTGGATTCACTCTTGGTGGGTGTGATGTGGGGATTTCTCAAAGGGCTGAAAAGGAAACTGCCATACCATCTAGCTGCTCTATTCCTAGTCATTTGCTCATCCTTGACTACTGCTTTCCATACACGAAGTCAAGGGAGCGGAATCAGCCTCAATTCCTACCAACTATTGGACGGACGGTGAAAAATACAGTATACACACTCAACAGTTTTTATTAACCAAAAGTACAATGGAATTATTTACAGGAAAATGCATGAAACTGAGAAATTGTATAAACTAGAAGAGTTAATTCAGGACTCAAAAGACAAAAGCTCCAGGTTTTCTGTTATACGTGGCTCTTAGCTTATAAGTTTTAGCATATGTGTGGAGTAAGGAAAGGTAGAAGCCAGAAAATTAGAAAGGGTCCCTATGACATGGGTCAAATTGTTTTCATTTAAAAAGAAAAAAAAAAGTCTCCAAACCAAAACAGTCAGACAGTTGAATCACAGTAGATATGGTCACGTGTCAGGGAAGCAAGTCAGTCACAAAAGGTGAAATGCGTGGTTCCACCCTACAGCATGAGGTCAAAGGTCAGTTTCACACTAGGAGCAGAGTGTGGGTACCAGGACTGGAGGGTAAAGGTACGGGAAAGCCATTATTTGATGGAAGTTGAATCTTTTCTTTGAGTTGAAAAAGGTATGGCATATGCTCATCAATAATGTAAGTCTATTGAATAATTTAAAAATAGTGATAATGGTAAAATTTAGTGTGTGTGTGTATGTGTTTAACAGAATGACAATGAAAGGAAACCAGGCACAGATGCACTTACTTGTCAAGAATACTTAATTCTTTCAGGGTCAACTAGGTGTCTCATTCCACTGTTAAAGATGAGAAAGAACAGCTTCAAGTACTACCCATGCTGCCAGAGGCCACGCAGCTCTAGCGGTATTCAAACATGCACACCTGAATTGATAGGCTGCCCACTAGAAGGCTTTGTTCTCTTAAAACACTGGACAAAAGCCTGGCCCCTCTCTGTCAGAACCCATTGACTTTGTCTACAAGCCCAATTTACAAAGAACAATAATCACTCATTGGGTGTTCTTGATTTTTATCACCTTCCATAATTTAGTTCGTTTAACGTCAGTCACGCAATCCTTATTAGCCCTTATCAAGAAATGTTCAAACTTAGTCTGGGAAAGATGGTTTCTAGTAAAAAGCTTTAATGCCAACGTTTCCTTTGCAATAATATGCCTATCTCGGGAATCTCAGAATTTCTCATTCACGGCATCTGACTCACTTATGCCATTAAATCTTGTAAATGCTTATGGAATTATACTTCTGTCTCGTTACTTGTTTCAGTTTAATACATTTTGTTTCAATATAAAGGACAGAGCACAATGTATTTGTGTTAAATGTCCAGTCAATAAAATGCATCAGATGCCTCCTATAAAACTGGATTGATGACAGCATTAAACCACATTATTGTCTTTATTAGATTATAATCTAAGACGAAGTTGATGAATGGCAAGAGTATCAGAAAATACTCTGAAGAAATAAAACAGAGTAACCAGTTAGTGGGGAGATAGGGAATCGTCTTTCTTTGGTGAAAAATTTAAATAGAGGGCCAAGGACATGCACATATAAAACATCCCATTCAAAGTGTAGCCTTGTAATGAAACTTTTAAGACTCTACAGAAGAACAGGTTCTGACAAAGGAGCCTGAGTGCTCCGTAATGCTAGGACATTACCACAGCTCAAGCAGAATGGACTTCAGTTATGCCCGGCCTGAAAGCTATTCCTATACTACAGTGATTTAAAAGAGGTGCAAAGTGTTAGCATTTAATGATTGACATTCGTTACTCATGAACCAGTAAGTGTGGGATCAAATCAGATCATCGAGCATGAATCTTTCTCTGGCATCATGGACCAATGGAGAACAAACCACCAAATGGTTAATCAACAATGACTTAAAAATAAATAAATAGATAGATAAATAAATAAATAGATAGATAAATAAATAAATAAATAAATAAATAAATACATAAATAAATACATAAATACCATACTTGGCAGATCCTCTATTCAGACACAGAGGAAGTAGACCTACCGGGACTGAGAAGAGGTAATGTGCCACGTAGCAAACGTGGCTAGAATAAACAGGCATGCTTAGAATTACTGGCTGGTGAGGATCCAATATGGCGACATGAATCATGCATGGTATCCGAGCAGCAGGGCGACAGTGATTGCAGAGCGACCGACTGGACATGCTATGGACCCCAAAACCCCAGCGTCTGTGTTTCCCAGGTGAGAGGAGAGCCCATCACGAGGAGACAAAGCTCAACCAATTTCCTTAAGCAGATTGCCCGACCTCGGAGCACAGTGTCTGGACAGCTGGAGCTCATTAACCTGAGAGCAAGAAGGCCAGCAGCAGGGCTGCTTTACTTGATCTGGGACTTGCCCTGGTGAGAGGAGGGGATCTCTAAGTGGACATACCGTTTTGAAAAGCAACACTTGTTTTTGTGCTAATCCGTGATGCTGCAATAATAAAGTTCTTGGATGACCTTGGATGGCCGTTCTAAGGCACATTTTCAGATCACGTGTCTGAGAATAGCTAATGCTGCACTCCTCAAGTCTCATCGGTGCATCAAAGCATTTTGAACCCTGGGCTTTTCCTCAGTCTTAATGTCCATTGTTACTTGGAGGTACTTTTAGGATTTTTACCTACTTCCACTGTAACTCTACAGCTCGAGAAAGGAGCAGCAAAATTAGCATGAAGAAAGTGATTTCAAAACTTGACTTAGTCTGACTGCTGTAATAATTTAAATGGCTCAGTTAAACTAAGGTTATAGTTACATGGCCATAAATCTATAAAGAAACAAAATCTGGGGCTGGAGAGATGGCTGAGCAGTTAAAAACACTGGCTGCTCTTCCAGAGGACCCGGGTTCAATTTCCAGCACCCTCATTATAACTACCACTATCTACAACTCCAATTCCAGGGGATCTGACACTCTCACACCAATGGACATAAAATAAAATTAAAGGGGTTATTATTATTAATTTTAAAGAAATGAAATCCTTTACTCTGTAAGATCTTCAATCTTCTTCTCCACTAACGTTGGGGGCACGTTGGAGACAATCACCTGCATATCCAGCTGATTGACCACCGAGACCTGAAACGGAAAAACAGAACGTGTATAAGTCCTAATCATGGACATTTCTATTTAAAAGGTTAATATTATCTGTTTCCTATTATCCATAGAATTTGTGGTTTCTTACTTTTAACTCACTGCTGAATGATTTTTTTTTGAGAATTACATCTTTTCCCATTGGCATTAGGAATAAACCCCTGTTGAGAATGGCAAAGCGCTTGCTTGCTCTGGTCCTAGAAATTAGATGGTAAGTAGATTTCATTATTTTGGCTTTGGGTTTGCTTTTTAAAGCCCATTTGTGATGCCTTTGGTGGTTTGAACAAGAATGGCCTCCGTAAGCTTCTATTTGAATGCTTGGTCACCAGGGGGTGGGACTGTTTGAAGGATTAGAAGGATTAGGAAGTGTGGCCTTGTTGGGGGAAGTGAGCCACTCTGGGTGGGCTTTGAGCTTTCAAAACTCCTGCCAGGCCCAGGTATATTCTCTCTCTCTCTCTCTTCCTGTCTGTCTATGGATAAGGCAGGAACTCTCAGCTGTTGCTACTGTGCTCTCTACCGTGATGACAATTGACTAACCCTTCGGTTAGTCCCAATGAAATGCTTTCTTTTATGACAGTTGCCTTGGTCCTGGTGTCTCTTTCCAGCAACAGAACAGTGACTAAGACAATGACCATAGGGGCAGATTTTTTTTTTTTTTTTTGTGCTTGGTTGCATCAGTAAGAAACACCCTGTGTAATAAAAAAAAATACACTGTTTAGAGTTTTAAATCTTAAGATAATTTGTTCATTGCAATTGATACTGTAGGGTGAAATAGGTTAGAATGTCTAATTCTCACGCTTCATGTTTATTTGTCAACTGTAATCCATGTATTCGCCTGCGTATAAATCTACAGTGAAACTGAAATAGAGCTGTCTTAGTGTATGTTTTATGTTAATGTTTAGCTTGATGGATATGCTGTATTTGTATAGTATTCAAAATGACTTCCTTCTATTATTATGTAGAACATAAAAGCAGCAATCCCATGCCGAGGGCATTCTCTTTTGTTTTTCCTCAGAACCCTGCAGGTTTCAACTTTATCTTTAACTATTACAAGTAGTTCTTAAGATGATTCCAAGTTAAATAAGAAAACCATAAAACAACTGGAATACTTGTGTGATTTTGATGGCCAGTTTTGTGTCGGCTTGACACAAGGTGGAATCACCTCCAAGGTAGAATCACCTCCAAGGAGAGAACCTCAGATGAGAAATTGCCTCCATAAAAGTTGGTCTGTAGGCAAGCCTGTAGGGTATTTTCTTACTTAGTAACTGATGTGGGAGGGATCATCCCTTTGTGGGTTTCTTTCCCAAAGAAAGCAGGCTGAACAAGCCATAAGCAACAAGCCATAAGCAGCTTCCCTCCATGGCCTCTGCATCAGCTTAGGACTTCCTACAGATTTTGAGTTTCTGCCTTGGGTTCCCTTAGTAGTGTGTATATATATATATGTATGTATGTATGTATGTATATATATATATATATATATATATATATATATATATATATATATATGCCAAATTAACTCTTTACTCCTCAGTTTGCTTTTGGTCATAGTTAAGGTAACCTTAACTAGGGCAGAGATCAAAGGATGTACCATAGCTATAGTTTTTTTTTTTTGAGACTCTTTTTAAAATTATTTATTTTTATGTACATTGGTGTTTTGCTTACATGTATGTCTGTATGCGGGTGTCAGTTCCCCTGGAACAGGAGTGACAGACAGTTGTGAGCTGCCATATGGGTGCTGGGTATTGGACCTAGGTCCTCTGGAAGAGCAGCCAGTGCTATTAACTTCTGAGACATCTCTCTCCCTCACTTCCTCCCTTTTTTTTCTTTCTTTCTTTCCTTCCTTCCTTCCTTCCTTCCTTCCTTCCTTCCTTCCTTCCTTCTATCTTTGACTTCTTGCTTCTTTTCCTTTCCCCCTCTTTTTTCTTCCCTTTATTTTAACATTGGATCAAGAACGATTAGTCAGGATTTCAGCCAATACCAGCAGCCTGTTAGAAAAACAGCTACAACAGGAAATCCAGTAATCAGATCTCAATCTCTGTAGGCTGCAGCCCCTCCGTCTCCCCTGTTGCTAGGATCTATCTCAGTCAACAGCTATTCCTGTGGGTTGGTGATGAAACAACTCTTGCACTTTGAGAAAGGGTGCTGAAGTGACAGTGTGGGTTGTGGAGCATTCCCTGAAGTGTCTCATTATTCAGTACTTTCATGTTTCTATATATACTTACCCACACCTTCATAAATGGGGTCTTTAGCAGACACTCTTAAAATTAACCCCCTTGGCCAGGCATGGTGGTGGCCCATGCTTATAATCCCACCTGAGGGGGGGGCATAAGTAAGAACTGTCAAAAATTCAAGGTGAGCTTGGGATTCAGAGCAAGACCCTGTCTCAACACCCTCTAACAATTATTGACTTTGAATAAGCATGATTATCACACCAGGTTTTTATTAATATAGGCCCAAAAAATCAGACAGGCCTCAGATGGGCATATTTCACAATTTTTACATTAGAATGACCAAGGTCAAAAGAAATCAGTGAATGGATGAGTAGAGGAAAGGAATCAATGAATGAAAAAATAGAGGAAAGAATCAATGAGTTAATGAGTAGAGGAAAGGAATAAACGAGTGAATGAGCAGAGGAAAGCTATAGCAGGAACAGGGGATAATCAAACCGGTGCCTTCTTACCTAAAGCAAAAATAGGATTGAATCAAGGAACTGCTAAGCCAAGACTGGGGAACTGTGCTATAAGCATTCGGAGGAATTTGAATAATAGAATGCAGTAGTAACTGCTGTTGATCTATCTTCCTTGACCTCTTCAGATGAGATTTTTATTGTTTGTGCTAATTCTTGCCAACCCTGCACAGAAGGAAACAGTACTTACTAGGTCACAGGAAACCAAAGTGCTCCATCTAGACTTGATGGAATGAGCAGCAGGTGGTGCTGCCTGGTGTGATTCAGATGTCAAGTTGAGCTGATAAGTCTCTGCTTTATTTAAGAAAGAGAATGAAATGTGCACTTGGTAGCCAGGTGGATCTTTTGTTGGTCGTCCATCCAGAAGTTTTTGTTTTCCTTCTGGGGAACACAGAAGGAATAGATGTCCCAGCCCCTGCTTTGTAGGTTAAGGAGGCCATGTGGTACAATCAGAGGGATGTAAAGACTGTGGAAGAGACAGCAGAGCTCTTTGTTTCCATCTCCACCAGAATAAAGAAGCCATTCTTTATTAGAAAGGGCAGAGAGATGGGTCAGAAAGAGCCTCGGTCAATAAGACCATGAACCTCTACGGCAGGAGAGCGATCAAGAAAGCAACAAAAAAAAAATAGATGCCATTCTTACGTCATGAGAGGGCTTTATCCACGAGTGTGCTGTAACACTAGAATTTTGGAAATGTTTTTGGAATACAGTCTCTCTATTGTCATAGATATCTACGTTCTTTTATATAATAAATCTGTCTAAGCAGTACTACGTGCTACGAAGAGTATCACGAAGAAAGCTGTAAGAGCACTGAAAAATCATCATGTAAGTTGTGTGTAGGGTCAGAGAATTTGTAGAGCCTGCCTACGTATAAACAGTCTCTGGTTTCTTTGCATCTTAATTCTAAGCTAACATTTAGAAGGCAGTCCAGTGGTAGAGAGGAACTTTATTTGGAAGCTAAATTTGTCTATCATTTGTAAAATTATTCTTAGGTTATAAAATAAATACAGGTAAGGGTTTAGCTATTTGTACATCAGTACAGTAATTACCTTATAGATATAAAGCCTAGACTCAATTCTCATCACTAAACAAAAAGTGTACCTCTATTTTTAATAAATTAAGAGTATATATCTATTTTTTGATAAGTTAATACATGTAGGCAGCTTTAATTCTATAATTGGGAGTTTCTGACTTACTCTAAACAGGTATTTTAAAATTTTAATGGCTGATCTGTAGCAGAACACAAAGTTTTTATTATATGTAAGAGAAAAATAATGTATATATAGCTTAGGTTTTGGTCTTTAAGGAAGTCCTGGTTCCTGAATTTTGCTTTTCTCAGCATCTTCACCAAACACGTTTAAGAGTAAAACATTTGTCTTAATTCTCCATTGCAACCACTATATAAATATTTCCAGAAATTTACTATTTATTGTATCATAATTTAAAAGTATCCTTACAGTATTGTTTGATTTTTCTCTATACAGATTGATTTAAAAATATTTTAGAAATATTCATTTATACACTGCTTGGGATGCTTTGTATGATAAAAAACAAGTGTGATCAAAGTAAAGAGAAAAAGCATGTGACTTACAAAGGTCTAATGAAAGAGATTCACTATGTACATACTTTATTTCTAGGTCCCTTAATTTTATTCATGAGCCATTCCTTCACCCCCCCCTTCACTCATTCCTATGAAATCCAACACTGACATTCTACCGAATATGCACTAAGTCACTAAAACCTGACCCTACATAATTTTAAATCCCCTGGTACACACATTTGAAATATAAATGTTAGCAAAATTATTTTAGCCATGCTTTTAGGCAAGTGTTTAAAATAGTTTGCCGCATTTAAACACAATTCCAACATGAAAACAATACACCCCTTGGAGATATTTGGCTTTATCAATAGAGTCTTTGGAATCCAGTTTCATCACAGAGCAGATCTCACTGTAGCCTGGAGCATGTCTCGGCACTCCCCACCTACCCAAGGCCAGTAGCCAGTGTTTTCACACGCTCATCCTCTCCCGGTGGACCATAACTGTGCTTCACAAACCCACTTTTAATAAAATGACAGGAATGGGTTAATAGCCTTTTAGGATTATTGTGTCTTTTCTCCTTTGATATTGTACCAAAATTTTGATTGTTAGTTTCTACAACTCTGGATTTCATTTGGAATCTGAAGCAATGATTACAAATATGAAAACCTATTTGTTTTTCTTGTCGTTTTTCTAGGGGATCTTTTGTTTGTACTTCAAATTAACATGTGGTTACTTCTGTTTTAGATCACAGTTTCATGTGGCTCAGGCTTGAACCCTGTGTGTAGCTGAAGTTGGCCTTCAATATTTCATTTTCATGCTTTCCCCTCCCCATCTCCAGAGGTAGAATTCTAGGAGTCTACTCCTGTGTTTGACATTATGAACAAATTTCAACATATTGTCTTTGCCACTTGTATAATACTAGTTCAAGATTTCCAAATACTGATACATCTCATTATGCAAAATGAAAAAAGAAATGCTTCTCTTTTTATTTTAATACGACCACTGATCTCATTAAAACAGTCATTGGATAATGGGAAGCTGTCAAGCTCACAGTGGGAAATACAGGCCTTCCAGTGATATGCTTTGAGCTGGAGAGATCCAACCCTGTCATCAGAAACGTCTTCTGCCAGCTGTTTTCCTTGAAATGAAAGGCTCATATCTTTCATTCTTCTGTAAATGCCTTCCAAATATTTAGCTTGAATAAACATATTTTGTCTCTAAGTTGTTCTTTCAAATAAAAAATATGGGAAGTTCAAAAAGTGGGCAGTTCAAATTGAATCATTTTTTTTTTTGAGACAACCACCATTTCTTATTATACTTTCCAATTCATCATATAAAATATTTAAAGATGTTAGTTGTTTTTGATAGCTAGACAGATGATTAGTGGAAAGATAAATGATAGGTAGCTAGATGACAGATAGATAGATGGATAGAAAGATAGATATAGATAGATAGATGATGTAGGTAAGTGATTTATAGAGATAGTGTTTGTATTTATGAATAAGCTTCGAGGTTTGTGCCTTTTTTTACTACATAGATGATATTTTAAAGTTATGTTTCCCCTCCCCCCAAGTCAGTGAGAGCAGACAATAAATAGATCACATGGCCCAAGCCTTGCAAAGCATAAAGGCTACTGGATGAGAAGAAAATAAACAAACAAACAAAAAAGAAAATAGGACATTATGAGGGATGTGATAAGCAAACCAAGATGGTGGCTGAAGGCTACCAAACAAGTGAGATCATTTAAAGTGAAAGCAAGCATACATTTGTGTACATTTCCTTAGATATTGCCAGCATGGGTATTGCTCTCGTAGAAGGAGAGTCAGAGTTCTATGGCTTTTTCAAGTGAGCACAACATAGAGAATGATGCCGTGGTTGGATATTGACTGGTCCGTGCCCCTGGCTGTAGAAGAGCAATGAGGGTTTATCTAAGAGACACTGGGGTAGAAAATGAACCTTGTGGAGCCCACCTGCCCTGCCTGTGAGCTTGCTGTGAAGTTGCTTGGGGACCCGATAATATACAGCACGAGAACAAAAATTCTTTCCTTTCTCTGGTTCTTCCTTCCCAAGTAAACATGTTTTTATGGACAAAGATGCCAGGTGCTTTAACTCTGCACACTGACACTTGCACCAGTGATGTGCCAGAGATTCCCAGGGCCAGGTGCTGGCACTGTTAGCCATCACACTTCTGGCACTTATGCTTTCTTTGACTGGAATTGTTTTGTCACCTTCTCTGGCTTCCCAATATGCAGCCTGACAATATAGGACTTTTCAGCCTTAATGCGCCTATGAATTAGTGAAATAAATCCACTTGCTTTGTTACCTTAGAGAGACTGACTAAGGAATACATAGGAAAAGGAAGTTGCTTTTCATATCATGGGCAATTTATTTTAGTCAGTAAAATAAGTACTCCATATTTGGTAATAAAGCCTGGAGAACTTGTAGGCTTTTTCACAAGAGAACTTATGAGAAGGAAGAAATTCAGTCGGTTGGATTGAATGTCTTTCCGGGAACAAGGGACTTGAACTTGTCTGGATACATTCAATATTGTGAATAAGGGTAGGAGGTTTGAGATGGAGGTTTAGAAGCAATGGCACAGGTAACTATGGCTTTAGACATTGGAACAGGATAGAGGGCAGAGTCGTTAAGGGAAGGAGCTCACTGGAAGAATAACCTTATAAAAAATGAAAGAGATTGACAAAAGTAAGTCAGGAGAACGGGAAATAAAAAGCCATGCTAATCAAACCACCTTAAGGTATGGAGGGACACCATGGGGGTGGAGTCTGAACGTCAGGAAAGAGCAAGGATTGAAAAATGACCGCACTGCAGCTTGACAATCATACTGTCAGTGGGTACCATGAAGAGCATGCCCAGCAAAACCAGCAAAGAATCGAATCGCTGTGACCTGAAGCCCTCCCCTGAGACAGTAACAGTAAGAAGGGCGCAAAGACATGCCCTTATCTGAATGTGACGACGATTACCTTCTACTCTTACTGATCATCTTCCATGGCTGTCCACTGCTTTAGCACACAGTTCCAAGGCATTTCATGTGGCCTCCGTGTCTTACACAAACCACCAGCTCCCACCTTTAGCCCCATACATCAGCCATACTCCTTCCCACGCTCTGTAGACTGGGTGAATAACTATCTCTGACTTACTCAGCTCTGCCTTCATCTGCCTTCTGTCTTGGTTTTGCCATCTTATCATCCTCACATCCTCTGCCTATGGAGACTGCATGCATCACTACAAAAATATTTTCTTTTTTTTTGAGATGACTTTCCTGATGCCATTTGCTTGTAACAATAATACATATATGTATATACATAAACACACATTATTATTTCTTTTAAATAAATTTGTTTCTCATAGATATATATTTGATATGTAGCCAAATAATATAAGTATATATATATATATATATATATATATATATATATAAATATATATATATATAATTTAAGCATATGGTTTATAATTTCATTACAATTACTTTGGCTATCAATCAAAAAGCATGAGCTTCTTGTTCTCATTTTATTAATTCTATCCATATTATACATAATGATTATATTTGCTTGTGTTTATTTTTTAATATCTGATATATACTTAGCACACTGACCTTTTTACTTATCCCTTAAGCTACACTCTGTGCATATTTTAAATAACAAAAAAAGAAAAAAAGCTATATTATCTTATATAAGGTTTACAGGCCCATGTTTAATAAAAATTTCATGTCACCCATTATATCATATATGTAATGACTTCTTGGCTAATATTGGCTTGCTTTTACTACAATGAAGCATTCTGTTTTGAGGGAGAGTACTGTCATCAGTACTGTCAACATACAACAATTGTGGTGATATGGTTTTCCACCATCTTAAAAAAAAAAACATTCTGATACCTACATGTAGACGAAAGTCAACTAAACGAGAACTGGATAAGATGTATATCTTGCTAGGGGATATAGGGAATACATGGATTTTACTTGATTCTTTCTTGATATGATAAATGTTCGATAATCATCCTACTTACAACTGTAACTAATTTTGTCAGAGAAAAATCCAAACAACCTCCTTGTCCAACTTAGAAGAGATAGATGTTTTGGTTAAAGTTGGAATCCAATTACCCTGGAGATCATATACTCCTGAGGCTGTATTCAGACAGAGAGTAGGAAACAAACAAAGAAAAAAAAAAGGAATACTGTTTTATTTAGACACACATAACTTGGCAAAGCATCAATTCTGCCATCACTGCTGTAACAAGAAAATCATGGATATTGAAATATAAGTTGCCACAGCATGTTTTCTGTTTTTTTAATTACAAAGGCCAAACACCTTGATGAAAACTTAATGGCATTTACACTTTAGAGAGTCTATTTCGAAGTAATATTAAAAGTGCTAACAGCTAAAACACCCGCTCTGGGCTGGCATCTTGCTTGTCCCACGTACTTACCAGAACATCAGCTTTCCCGCTTAACCCCTTCCCGTAGTCGTCCGTTGCAATCACTTGAAACTTGAAGTAGGATCTCCTCATGTTGTGGAAGAGCATGGCTGTCTTGACAAGCCCTGTGTATGTTTCCACCACAAACCCCTCTTTGCCCTCTTTAATAGGTGGTATGATGAGCCTGTAGGCCATGGCACTATAGTTGCCCGTATCCCTGTCGGTGGCCTGGGAGGGAAGGAAAACCAGATGATAAGTCATCAGTCAGAGAGAAGAAGCAGCTTACTTCCGCTTCCAAGGCTACTTGTGTAATCTTGCAGAACATCACTCCTAAAATTCCATTTCTCGGAATATCATTATGCATGTGCAGAAGACACATTTGCATATCAAATAGTTTTTCATTGGAATGATAGTGGCTCCAGGACAGTTGTTACAACAGACGAGGAGCAGATCAATCAAGTTTTATGTATCTGTCAGGATGAGTTCAAGTTTAGGGTATGGACCAGACACTGAACGTGGTGGCATCTATTGGTTACTTGAAGATTGTCACATGGCTGTGAGGTTTTATTCCCACAGATTTGTCAGGGATTTTTTTATAATTGTAGATTTTGTGCTTAAAATTTTTTATTATTATATTTTTGGTCATGTTTTCCTCTCCCTCGACTCCTACCAGGTTCTTCCTGCTTCTCTCCCACCCAACCTCATGTTTTCTTTCCCTCTGGAATAAAACGAAACAAAAGAAAAAGGAAAACCAAAACAAACAAAAATCAAATTTTTGACCTAGCATGCAGTCTAAGAGGTCGGAGATATAGAGGACTATACAATGACATATCAAATTAAAATGAGTCACATGTCATGGTTTTAACAAGTACAGTTATGGATATATGCGTGAATGCCAACCAGGTAATGTTCTAGGAGTCCAACAGATGCTAACTCTCTCTCCTGGGATCCTCCTGAGTAAACAAGGTTCCTAGTGACAGGGAGTTGTGGTGTGCAGGCTTAATTTTCTTATCATTTAGGTTTTATAAAAAAAAAAAGAACAAGTACTCAGGTTTTCCATTTCTTCTTAAAAATGGCTGTGAACAGAATATAATTACATGAGTCCTAAGGGGAAGTTTTCATGATGTCAGTTTCAGAATGATTTCAAAGTGAAACACTAAGGAAAGGAATGGCAGGGTCTGGAGATGGTTTCAGCACTGAAGAGCACTGGCAGCTCTTCTGGAGGACCCAAGCTAGGTCCCCAGCACCAACCTGACAACTCAGACCCATCCAGAACTCTGGTGTCCAGGGCTCTGATGCTCTCTCATGGCCTCTGTAGGCCCAAGGCATGTACACAAACACTCATACACTTAAAATAAAAAGCAACCCCAAAACTTATAAACTTTATTCTAAAAACCCGAAATTAAGTAAATATATAGTATATCCAAGTTAAAGACCAAAGTCGATACAACTCAATTAACTTTTATACAGGTAGAATAGGTATTTGGAACGGAAGCTGTGGAACTTCACATTGAGTTTTTCACTTTCAATACTGAATCTATGACAAGAAAGGCTTATGCAAGACGACGAGGAACAACTGAATGCAGGTAATGGGCCCACATTATGAAAGAGTACACAAATCTAATTGTTTCTCTAATTCTGTCATGGACTCTTGTTTTGGGTAGTGGATCAGTGCCTAAAACGTATTAAATACTGAACGTTTATTAAAAATTGTGGATACTAGAACCAGATAATGTCTACCTAATAGCTATTACCAGGCTATGTGCAAATTATTCATGATAGACATCATTCATATTTCCATTTTCAGCGTTATTTTCCATTACATAGTTGTTCACACCTTTATCAGCATTTAATTTAAAGCACGGTATGTTGAGCATTTTTAATTTGTACTAAAACTCTGAGAGCTCTACCAAAGCAATTAGTAGCATGAAGAATACTGCTGAGGCAGCTTCTGTTCTAATTATGTTGATTAGTGAACAGAATGTTCTGGGTGCCGATAAGGCATGTTCTCAGCATGTTCTGAGCTGCAGCCCAAATCAGCCATACAACCACTGAGAAGTTGAATGAGGCCGAGGAGGCAAAATAACCGAATTCTAACTTGATCTAACTGAGTTACAGTTGTTATTTAACAGTCAGGTACAGTAAGGTATAGAATAAACTTGACTTGGCTTCAAGCTTTATTCATATTCCAAACATTTAAAGCAGTTCAGGATAGCCCTATCTGCATAACAAGGAGATTACCTTGTCTAAGTTGCTGTCATGGTTAATTCTGATGGCCAACTTGACTGGACCTAGAGTTACCTAGGAGACACATCTGTGGGTGTGGCTGTGGTGGAATTTAACAGAGCAGGGAAGATGCTCTAGACTAGTGTCTCAAACTAAACAACATGGGGAAAAGGGGCAAGCCAGGTGGACCCCAGAATTCACCTGTCCACCTCTTGACTACACACACGTGTCCAGCTGCCTCACGCTTTGCCGCCATGCCCTCCTGCCATGGTGGGCTTTATCATCCAACTGTGAACCAGAGCAAACGCTTCCCTCTGACACGGCTGTCTTCATGCTATTCCCCGCAGCAGCCGCGTACCTTCATTTGCTAAAAGTTCTCATCGAGAGGAGAGCAAGAATGCTATCTCAGCTCATTTCCTTGTGTGGTCTGAGGTTTTGCTAAGCGGAGCTGGGTTTGGGCATTAGAGTTCCAAGGATGAAACTGTAATTAGCTTTCCACTCTTACATACAGGAGAAAGAAACAGGAAATTAAAGTTAACCTTTTAAAGCTTTAAATTCTGGCCATTTTATTCATTTAACAAAGGATAGCATAAGAAATTAAAAAAAAAAGAGTATTTACAACTAAAATTCAACGCAGAATCTAAACCAACGATTTCTCATTAAAGAGATAATTTATTGTTGATGTAAACCTTGAAATATAATAGTCATGCCCAAAGTGTACCAAATCACGAGTGTACAAAGCAATACTTTTATTTTTTCAAAACTATGCATATCTATGAGGCCAATATGCATATTAGAGATCAAAACTCCCTAGCCAGTGATGTCTCTACTCAAGCCTCACACCCTCTTCCCTCAGGGAAGCCACTGACCTGTCTGTATTATTGCTCAGGTTTGCTCATTTTCCAAGTTTATATCGGTAGAGTCAGCAAAAGTTCTACCTCATGACTCTGCTCTTGCACCAAGTCGTGAGGCTCAAGCCTGTAGGATTCGAAGACAAGGTTGACAACACAGAGGTGTGCAGGTAGGAACGGTGGCTACGGCGCAGGCGGAGGGGTTGCTTGGCGCATGAGTTAGCTCACACAGTTTCTACTGCCTTTCCGCTTCACAGACTTTGTTTTGTTTCCTAACTCATTACATCGGAAAAACTACAACACAGCCGCAGTTCATGACAGGCATCCGAAGTGCTTTTGTAGTAAGGTGTCATTTACTGTAAGACTCAGAAGTACCATTTTAGACTTTTTCATGTTGTGGTCAAGAAAGATGGTAAAAATGAAGTACAATTCTAAAAGAATAAAAAAAATCAATCCAGGCTCGCTGGGCGTTTGCCGCTCTAAATCTCTATTGCTGTGTGCTGTGTAGTGGTCCCCCATGGTCCCTTCCTCCCTCAAGGAGCACTGTATTCAGCATCTTATCTCACTTCTGGACGTGGCCACAGAACAGCTGCAGGAATGCGTGAATTTCACGAGAGCCCTCCAATCTCTATCAGGTTTGTAGAGTCGGAAGCCGGCTGACCACAGAGCAGAAGTGGAAAATTCCAGGGCACACGGTATGCCCACTTTCAGTTTGGGACTGTCACACCTCTGAGGGACGTAAGTCAGATGGCTCGCCGTGTACGCCCTATAGTCATGCACAGGCCAGAGGCAAACATTCTGGTGGAGTGACACGTTTAAACACATACTGACTCAGCCAAAGCACCAGCCACAGAACTCAGGGCACAACTTGAAATCCAGGTCAAGATGTGCAAAGGAAGTGAACGCCTCAGTATCAAGTGTGTCATAAGTGTCCGCGTCCTGTGTTTAGTGGGTTTACATTAATTTTGTTTGCTTATTCTCACTTCTTTTTATATTGAGGGGGACTTCAGTAAGTCTCCCCTTCAAATCTCACTTTTAACTTGTGTTTCTTGTTTCTTATTCATCAGTGAGATGAATTATTATGTAAACATTTGTTCACAAATATTATTGAAAACAAACATGTGTATATCTATACATCTGCTATCTGACATGATTGCAATGTGGTGAAAATTATGTTCACGTCATTATATTTAATGACCAAGAACAGCATGGCCATTACAGAACCTAACTATTGGCGCTCTTAAATTCACATTACAACAGCAAGAAGGTTCTTCTTTCTTGTAATATGTTGTGTATTAATGAATACAGTAAATTAAGCACTCAAGACCGCTATTAAAATAGACTTATCATCTTAGACACATAAGATTATAACTCCATTATGAAAGTAATATATTACTAATTTCTTTCTAATTGGGGTCAGGGTGCATGCATTTGGTTTTCATAATCATCTTTGATTTTATTTATATTTTCTAGTTTTCCTTTATGTTTTCCAGGTCCCTCTTGACTCAGTCTTGCAAACCTTCTTCCTCAATTGACACCCACACACTACGTAGTGAAACACTCTCCCCTTATGACTGAACTAGGGACACTGACAGCTGGCCCTCCGTTTTCTTCCTCAACTTATTCCTTCTTTTAAAGTGCAGGCTTCATGTACACGGCATACTTGCCAATTTATCTTCAATTCCCAGCCTAGCGACACTTATAGAAATGCCTGGTATTTGCTCTAGTGTTAAACCTCACCGAGGCATTGGCCCTGGGGAAACGCTCCGTCCCAGGAAGATTAAACTTTAATGTGTACATTTCTGACCACAGTGAACCCATCACATCGCAAACCTCTGATGCTAGTGAATTTTCACATTCGCCCTCCCCCTTGGGACATTAGGTCTGGAGTTCCCATCCACTTTGGCTCTTCTGTCCAAGCCACACGGTCGTTATCTTGTCTTTGTCCCTTGGATCAACTGAATCGTAAGCTTATAGTTTCTGACTTACGGCTGAAGACGGGGAATTTAAACAACCAGGGAGACCAGGAGATCATAAGCTCGCAATCCGACTTGCAAACTGGTCTATGGCCACATCACCCTGAACCAGCCCAGTGAGTCGCGAACTGTGCTTTTGCTCCAGTTACAAACCCTTCTCCGACTTGTCTCCTAT